CAATTCGTTTGTATTTTTGGAGGAGCGACAGTAGTTTGATCTTAAATGCTTTTGTTGTACAAGTTACTTGTGAATGAGAACGATTGAGTGCATCAGCAATGTCACAAGTGCTTTCATCTGCTCCCCAACATCCAATTATTCAAAGTCTGTTAATTGAGACATGATGTTTTAATTGAACTAACAAATTGAAAGTTCAATCTTTTTTTTTTTAAAAAAAAGATCTAGTTTTGATTAGATATTTCAGTCACAATTGCCCTTTAAAGTTTGTTCATGCATAGTGATAATTGTCTTGCATAAAAAATTCACAATTTTTTTTTTACATTTTGTATTAATTCTCCTATGGATATTTGTTCAATAATTATGAACATAAGAACAAACAGAACAACATGTTCCAAGTTCCCAAGATGTGTTAAAACATTGTATCTTAAAATAGCTCCAAGTGCTACTTTTTCAAAAAAATTTTAATTTGACTTTTTGAACATCATAAAATTATCAATAACAATATGATATTTTAGAATATTATGAATCATTCCAGCAAACATTTCTCACTAATGCACAACATCGATTTGCTTAGTAAAAAACGAGTATTTGTATTACCTGTTTATTCGAGTCAACTATAATAATAACTTTATTATTATTAGTAATTTGTCGCAAAAAAAATTTTTAATGAATATCATTAACATTAATATGAATTTGGTAATTTGTCGCAAAAAATTTTTAAAAGTATTATGCATGAGATTGAAAAATAAAATAATTGAATTTAGTAATGTGTCGCGAAAAATAAAGTAATTGAATTTAGTAATGTGTTGCAAAAAATAAATAAGGTTTGTTTTTTTTTGATTAAAAATATACTGAGATTGAAAAATAAAATAATTGAATTTAGTAATGTGTCGCGAAAAATAAAGTAATTGAATTTAGTAATGTGTTGCAAAAAATAAATAAGGTTTGTTTTTTTTTGATTAAAAATATACCAAATTAGGAAATTAGACAATGCATAATATATAGATATAGTATTGTGTACATGGTCAGTGTGGTATGTATGTGGTATGCGGTTGGTATATATATATATATATATATAGTAGTGTGAGTGGGATACTTGTAGTCTGTACAGACTACAAGTATCCCACTTAGTTCGGACTATAACCATACCATATATTAGTTGGACTATAACTACCCCGAAAATGACGTGAGAAAAATGAATCACGACACACTTTTTGGGGTAGTTATAGTCTACCAATTGATGCTGTGCAAATTGCACTTGTCACGTCATTCGAGAGTCGCCAAGGTGTACCGTAGCTTAACGATTGTGACCGATTTTTGTCGTCACCTCCGTATGCAACATATCATATACCGGTTTGGTTATCGTAACCGATTTCCGTCGTAATAAAATAACTGAGGTAGGTTATGGTAACCCAGGTGGAATGCTAGGTTATTCTCACTCATGTATTGATTGCAGGTTGATGGGCGGAGTATATATTTAAGAAGGCGTCTGATTTCTGCATTTTCAGTCTCCGCCATGTAACATTCATGATCATCATCAACATTTGTGGACGGTCACCTATAAGTATCACTCTTGGAAAATGCTTAATCTGAAGTTAACTATCCCGAAAGCATACCCGAAAACATATCATGAAAACGGGTAGGTTTCTGCCATAATTCTTATAATATATTTCCGCACTTACCTACCCCAAAAACATATCGTCAAATGGGTAGCCATCTTCCATAATTATATATAATATTTCTGAAGTTAGCTACCCCGACCACATATCCAGAAAAATGTAACGTAAAAAGGTAGGCTTCTTCTAATTTCTCTACTATGTAGAGTTTCTGAAGTTTCCTACTGCAACATATATCCGAATACATATCATCAACAAGTGAAGCCTTCTGCCATTTTTCTTATATATATATTACGCAGTGAGCTTCACTTACCATATACCTAAAGCATACCCGAAAACACACCATCGAAATGGGAAGTCTTCTGCCATTTTTCTTATAAATATATTACCGCACTTACCTACTCCGAAAGCATATCATTAGAAGGGTAGGTTTCTGCCATAATTCTTATAATATATTACTGCACTTACCTACCCCGAAAGCATATCATTAGAAGGGTAGGTTTCTGCCATTTTTCTTATAATATATTACTGCACTTACCTACCCCAAAAGCACGTCATCAAATATATACCCGAAAGCATATCATTGGATGGGTAGGTTTCTGCCATAATTCTTATAATATATTACTGCACTTACCTACCCCAAAAGCATGTCATCAAATATATACCCGAAAGCATCGGATTGATGATCATAATCGATTTCCGTTCCAATAAAATAACTGAGGTAGGTTATGTCGCCCTGGCCTAACTCTTCTGCATGTTTTTTTAGGATCCCAAATTCGATAACATTATCTGTATGCCAGTTTGGCGTTTGTGGCTGGTTTCTGACATCGGCAAAAAAATATACCAATGATGCATACAGTTATGTGTTACCTACCTATTGCTATCGAGTATGCTACATTCCTACTATTGGGTATGCTGAAATTTTTGTCACGAGCTGACACTAGATGTCACTAGTTGTTTGCAGGTACTTGTGACAGAACTTGTGACAGTTGTTTGAGAGTTTTGAGCCTTTTCGTTTCTCTCTTGATTACTTATTTATATCTGTCACAAGTTACTTAAGTAAAATAGTAGAATTCTAAGGAAAAAAAAAACTTTCCTATGGTATACCTATAAGATATATACCTGATACCAACCCATGTTATATGTACTATATCTAATTGGAAAGCAATGGGCTTCGCCCTTACCCGATATATACCTATGATATATACCTATGATATATTCCCGATACCTACATATGTTATATGCGCATATACCTCAATATATACCTATGTTATATAATTATTGTGTATATAATTTTAATTAATTTTTAGATTTACAGAGAAATTTGATTTATGTTCAGTCTTTTTTGTGACTTTGGCGGGTTGCTAATAAATGAAATCAATCACAATTACCATTATTACTATGTCCCATTGAAAATTTAAAACACGTGATCATGTAAAATATATATATAGCAAATTCGAAGTTTTGATATTAATCAAAACTTTTGATTTATAGAATGTATTGTCATTATCCCTTAATTCGTGATACGTGATAGAAGTAGATAATATTCTGAAAATTAATTAGTAAATTGTGGGGGATCATCACTATCAAATGGTTACAATTGACCAACTTCCAAATTTTTTCTATATACCAGCACACATGATAAATATTACACAGAATATTAAATAATATGGAGTCTGGACAATAGAAACGGACCATGTTGTGAAAATGATGTTTTGAGAAAATTTAAAAAAAGATCTGCATTT